CCATCCAGGCATTTATCTCGCCGTGTACAAGTTGGATCCCCGGCCACCATGGTGATCCTGCAGATGCCCATTTTGATTGACACAGGTAATATCCTCACAGGCATTCTCCCTGTGTTGCAAATAGGAATTGTTGGCAGCATTGAACTGGGATGGCCGCTGACTGAGGTGTTCTTTTTGTCTGAAATGGACAACTGTTAGAGTGGATCATCTATCTCAGGAAAACAACAGGAACACCTTCTCTTCAAAAACAAGAAAGTTTCAAACTTCTACTACAATATGTTCTGCTGCACGCTTATATATCCCCCATTCCTATAGATCAGGCGTAGGCAACCTTGGCTCTTTTATGACTCGTGGACTTCAACTACCAGAATTCCTGAGCCAGCCAAGCTGGCTCAGGAATTCTGGGAGTTGAAGTCCACGAGTCATAAAAGAGCCAAGGTTGCCTACCCCTGCTATAGATCCTGAATAATTCTCATCCATTTTCCATCTTTTTCCAGATGAACCAGACCCTCGTCCTGTCTTTGAAAAAGTCCTCTTAGATTGGGAAGAGGATGCTGAATTATATTCCAAGTTCTTAGACAGAAAGGTGAGTTGTTCGGGGATTAAGGGCAGAGTAACACCTGAAGTAGGGCTCACAAGATGGCAGACTTCTAAGCTCATGGGATAATTAACTCATTTTGCTTCTGCCTTATCTACAGGTAGTCCTCAACTTACGACCACAGTTGAGCCTAAAATTTCTGTTGCTAGGCAAAAACAGTTCAGTGAGCTTTGCCCCATTTTACAACCTTTCTTTGCCACAGTTGTTAAGTGAATCACTGCAGATGTTGTTAGTAACAGGATTAGCCCGACTCACTTCATGGGGTGCTTGTTTTTAGGGAATATAAGAGGAGGAAGGAGTATGATGCATGTTTTTAGCCTTGAGTTCCTTATAAAGTAATAAAGGCAGGATAAAAATCTGATAGATAAATAAATGTCTGTTAATAGCTGACTTGTGAGACTGCTACGCCTCTAAGAATTCTGTTGCATTTTTACATCTGGCTTAGTCTAAGATGTCTATAGTTTCCCAATTGAATTTGTGGTCGAACTTGTCAGCATGTTGCGAAATTAAGGCATTTTCCTCATGTCTTCTGACTTCCAGATGATGTTTGTGGGTGCATTCTTTCAATTTTCTTCCTGTTTGCCCCACATACCTTAGTAATTTTCACAGATCTTGCATTAATATGCTGTAAATGACTCGAATCTTGTGTTTGGCTATTGGTGTGCCACAAAACAACCTCCATCGGTCAAGTTTACTGAACAATTACAGCAACAACCCAATGGCATAGAAAAGAAATTGGGGAAGGAGTGCTAGAGGCATGGTGTTCTGCAGTAACCTAGAATTCCAAAAATCTGAAATAGATTATCTATACATTAGAATAGAATAGAATAGAATAGAATAGAATAGAATAGAATAGAATAGAATAGAATAGAATAGAATAGAATAGAATAGAGCTGGAAGGGACCTTGGAGGTCTCCTAGTCCATCCCCCTCCTCAAGCAGGAGAACCTATACTAGTGATGGCGAACCTTTTAGAGACCGAATCCCCAAAACCCGCCCCCCGTCCCCGTTCCACCCTGCCCGCTGGGCCACCCACCACCTCCACAGCCTGCCACAGATCACCCAGGTAGCCCAGCAGCGCCATGGTGGCCACGCCCTCCACCCGCACCCTGCAGCAGCATCTGCGTGCAATGGGGTGCAAGGGCGGAGTCTTGTCCCCGCTGCCCGGCTACCATGTCCTTGGCTGTGCTGCTTCGCATGGGCCGCGCCCGGGGGCAACTCTCCTCAGGGGGGCTGCTGGTGAGGAGGGGGCCATGGGAGGAGGCGGGACTGGGACGACGGTGCGTGTGCCCACAGAGAGGGCTCCAAGTGCCACCTCTGGCACGCATGCCATAGGTTCGCCACCACTGACCTATACCATCTCAGACAAGTGACTGTCTCGTCTCTTCTTAAAAATCTCCAGTGATGGAGTGCCCATGATTTCTGGAGGCAAGCTGTTCCACTGGTTAATTGTTCTTACTGTTAGGAACTTTCTCCTTAATTCCAGGTTGCTTCTCTCTTTGTTCAGTTTCCAACCATTGTTTCTTGTCCTGCCTTCTGGTGCTTTGGAAAATAATGTGATCCCCACTTCTTTGTGGCAGTCTCTCAAATACTGGAATACTGCTATCATGTCACCCCTGTTTCTTCTTTTCTTTAGACTAGTCAAACTCAAGTCCTGCAGCCGTTCTTCATATGTTTTAGTCTCCAGACCTTTGATCTTCTTAGTTGCTCTTCTCTGAACTTTTTCCAAGGTCTCAACATCTTTTTTGTAGTATGGTGACCAAAATTGATTGCATATTCCAATGCAATGGATATCTAAACAACTTCAACAAAAAAATGTGTAACCATACAACCAACAATTACACAAGCTGCACAAACCTATTAATAGGATAACTACTATATGTCAAAAGCCTCTCTGAAACTATCAGCAAATTGCTATACCCTCTAGGCATCCTGGGGGGGTCCATAAACCAAGAAAATACATCCAAACTATTCTAAGCAAAAGCAACAGCCATTGAATACAAAGCAGGAGTCATTTATAACATACAGCAGAAAGATAGCAGAAACCACAATTGCGATTGAAAAAAGTTGCAGACATCCTAGGCCAAACTAGATCCAAAAATGCAAGAGAATTCCTAGAGGCATGGCTCTGATGAATCATCCATTAACAGACATTTTGAGATAAGCCTCATCCGCAAATCATTCCGGAAAGGAAGCAACCAAAGGTCAAAGAAAGACTCAAACACACATCCCCCTCTCCATCACACACCTATTAATCAATACCCAGACAAGAAAGAACAATTGAGGAAGAAACAATGCCCCCAAGACAATTTATCATGTAAACAACCAGCAAGCTCTACTCCTGCATGAACTGATGATGTTTCTAGCCTGATCACAAAAGTTTGCAAGAGTCAAAGTAAGCTCAGAAAACACCAAGAACCCAACAGTTCAGACCTGAAGTACTTATATTCCCCACTGTGGCAGGGTGCGATCACTTCTAAATTTTGCAACATTTTTACTTAAAAACAAATGTTGTAGGGATAAGAATAATGAGGGAGAGAGAGAGAGAGAGACAGAGAAAGAGAGTCATTTCCCTATGATGCTTCCTGATTTTTTTCCAACAGTGAAGGGGTGGAGGCTTATAGAGAACTATTTCACAATTGGCTTATTTAGTAAATGGAAATCTGACTTGATTGGAACTTGAAGTGAATAAAAATGTCAAGGTGTAATCTGGAGGTAATACTTAAGAGCTACAGTAGTTGAATGTAGAATACATTAATTATACTTCATTCTCATGAAAACAGTGGGACTATCATAACTAACAAATTCCATTGATTTCAAGTGAATTTACTTTGGCATCCGGTATCACAAATCTCCAGTTAATATATAATCTAGTCCTGGAGGGAAATCCTAGTGAGCATCATAGGGCTGACAAGAGTGGTGCGGCTATGACCAAAATGCCAATGGGATAGCAACACAAGAAATAAGACTAGAGCAGGGCTAGGCAACCCAAAACACTCAAAGAGCCACTTGGACCCGTTTCCCACCGAAAACAAAATACTGGGAGCCGCGAAACCCTTTTGATATCTAAAATGAAGATAACACTGCATATATCTCATAAAGGTAAAAAAGGATATATGCAGTGTTATCTTCATTTTAGATGTCAAAAGGGTCTCTCTCTCTCTCCCTCTCTCTCTTTCTGCCCTTGGTCTGCCAGTCCTCTTCCCCCACTCTCTTTCTCTCTCTCTCTCTCTCTCTCTCTCTCTCTCTCTCTCTCTCCCTCTCTCTCTCCCCCCCTCCCTCCCCCCCCCCC